CATCATCACCGTAGGTTTCTGTGACAATGTCGGTCCTAAAACTGGCATCGCTATCATACTGATTGAGGAAAAAAACTTTCATATACAATAATACATCGCTATAAATGATATACTTTTAAGCGTCACCATGTAGTCTCATAATGCCAGTTCCTAGAGCGGAGATCTACGGTGATATACGGTTTCTAGCATTTACAGATTCATCGAGGCTCAGAGTAACCAGCAGTGTCCATCTAGTCACCATCACCGTAGGTTTTCGTCACCCTATTGATTCTATTATTAGCTTTGTAGCCATGCACATGTTGGAAAAGATTTTTCATCATCAGTCTTGTCATACACTCAGCTGACTCTGTAAGTTCGCCTATTCGGAATTTCGCCAATAGTACGCTCACTAGTGGCGAATTTTCCAACAACATTCGTCTATTGGCGAATCTCTAGTATGAAATTCGTCAAAAAATATTTATTTTTGCCTTAGGTATGTTCGCCAATGGGCGAATGTCATGGAGAAATTCGCCAATTTTAATCCGTAGAATTATGACTCAACTAAATTGATGATAGAATATTTAAGTACTACAGGATGTGGGTGTGGGTGTGGGCGTGGGTATGAGTATAGGTCAAGCGCATATACAACATCCAGACTCGCACCTACATCCACATCCACACGCAGTCACCTACACCCAGACCATTTTTCGTTAGTATATTCGCCAATTAGCAAATCTCTATCATGAAAATCGCCAATTTGGCGAATCTCTAGCATGAAATTCGCCAATAAAATTTTGTTTCGTCATAGTGTATTCTCCAATTGACGAAAAGCTAGTTGATATTCGCCAGTTGGCGAAAAGAAAGATTGGGGATGGTATAATTTCACTACTCGGCTATACAGTTTTGACCGTCAACATGAAAGCTAACAATGGAAGTTAGATGGTGGAAACCTATCGTTATGGCCAATTCAAAGAATTTTATGGACTAGTTGAGGCTCAAGATAACAGATAATGTCCGTCTAGCAGCCACCACCATAGGCTTTTATTTTTATACCGACCACCTCGTTAGCCTGATGATTATATTCGTGCGTAAAAGTGTCTCGTGTACGACTACATTCTCAAATCAAGAATACGGTTTCAATTCTAGAGTTTAAGGCGAACATAGCGGGTTAGAATATTAGGAGCCCACTGATATGGTCGATTTTGACCATTTTTCAGACACCTGCATGCTTGCATCAATCACTGATGCTGTTACATACGAATTTGGCATAAGTTTTCATGGTTCCACTGACCATTTTCTTAATTGAATCACGGTAATTAAGTATAAAAGAAACGCTTTATGTGCTATAGTACCGTCTAGTAAGGAGGAGAGCTTCGACTATCGTTATTAATGTTAGTGATGCAACGATGACGATTACCATAGGTATGGTTACGGGTTCACTACGTGAACCATTGGTACGGTTATTGCTACAACTAAGAAAACTGCACCTAAGATTTCAGAACCAATTATGATAACCATAGGTACAGTTATCAGTCATATGAGGCTTTCGTGAAACACAGTATTTTCTAAGACACTAACGAATTCCTGTGAAAACTAAAGAAAGATGATCATGATCAGAAAATTGGAATCTGAGGTCAAATTTTGAAAATGTTTAAGTTGACTTTATACGCTAAGGAAAGGTTTTCTAAGAAGATGCTGATACTTAGTAAAGAGTGACGAAAGTAAATCGGTTTTCAGGGACTCGAATATGATATCAATTTATCAAGGCTCTGTATTTCAATTATCAAAAAAATGATTTCTTGATGAATGCTATAGTTTTCTTGAGTATTAGAGTCGAATGCGCCAAGTTGAATTTCCCTTCATCAACCCATCGAGGAAATAGCTACTTTCATAATAGACACTCACTTAATCTAAAAACTTCAGTTTAAAATTTTCAAAGACTGACTTTGAATTCAGACTCTCCGGCCCCAGTTTACTTCGTCAACCTTTATAAAAACTTCACTTTCTTAACAATGCTGCTTTTCACGACATCCTTTTTGACCTAATAACTGTACCTAGGAGGATCGTAGTTGGACCGGTAACTGTAAATACGGTTATCGCAATCGGACTATCAGCCGTACCCATGATACTCGTAGTTTGGCTGCTAACGGTAGAAACAGTCATCGTATTTAGACCGGTATCCGTAAGTATGCTTATCGTAGCTAGACCGGTGACCGTAGGTATGGCCATATAATCTCGCTGATAACTATCAATGCGGTATCATAGTTGGACTGGTAACCGTAGGTACGTTTATCGTAGTTGCACCAATAGCTTTACTTACGGTAATCGTAGCTAGGCGAGTAACCGTAACTTAGATGATAGTAGTTAGACTGGTAAGCGTACCTGTGGCTATTGTAGTTGGATTGATTACGGTAGTCTCGGTGATGGTAGTTAGATCTGTAACCGTAGGTACAGTGATCTTAATTAGACCAGTAACCATTGGTACGGTTATTGTGATTGGATCGAAAAACCTAGGTACAATGACTGTAGCTGTACCGGTAACCATAGGTATGGTTATCGGCTTCGACCGGCGAAATTACCTTCGCCGTTGTATTTCTAGTCAATATCAATACCCTCCATTTAGAACTACGAAAATCTGCGATGATGGCCGGTTTCCACTATTACTCAAACAACATAAGACTCAATGCATCCAGCAGTACTAATATGCCAGTCTCCATTATGGCTCTTTATAACCTTATCGGCTTGATTCTCTGCTTTATTCCAAAATTCTGATTAGTATTTCTCAAAATTAATTAGGACGAGGAATTACTTCTTATCAGAAAGTTAAGTGCTCGAGCTTCTGAGATGTAACGTGTAGGAGAGACATCGAAATACAAAAAAGTGACCGGTGCACCGTTCACCGGTTTCACCGGTCCATCGATTAGCCATACCAACCGGTGGGTGGTGGCACCGTTAGTGCGGTGGAACGGTGGACGGTGAACCGTCACCGGTGCACCCCTAATCGAAGCTGAGCTACATTATAGCCAGTGTTACAGATACTTATGTTATTAGCTATTCATAATGTATCGATGTTTGGGCAAGATTTTTACTCAGCAGAATGTAAGAAACACGGTTTTTGTTGGTACTGTTGTTGATAAACGAAAGGAGAAAGGCAGACGACATTTGATAGTAAGTAAGATGATACTTGTGAACGAGAATGGGGTAATAGGTGTAAATTATTTTCAATTCAGCATACAATCAATTGTCAATCTTCCACGCAACCCAAATTAGTCAATCAATTCCAGATATGATACAAGACTTCTTCGTTTGAACGATAGTTCTTTTTATGCTTTTCGAGTTTTCGATCGAGATAGGATGTCCAGGACATATTTTTCACTTTTCTAGTCAACAAACTGACGAGTTATAATTGAACTTTATACTGATCAAGGAACTTGAGAAGTATCTGGAATCGTGCACATACACATAGATCAAGAAATTTCGACATTTGTCCAGTTAACTGAACCATTCGAGAACATAAAACCATCTTGAAACGCCGCTTAAACTAAGAAGCTTGAAAAAAGCATATCTGGATTGAGGAAGTAATAAAGCATCTTGATCCGAGTGAGATTTAGCAAAAATACAGGATGAGGAAAAATATCTTTCTACAAACTGGAAAACGTTTACAGGTTGAATTCAGCTTTCATCACCAAAATTTAGTCAACCAGCTAACTTAACCTCCAATTACCTTAAACTTCTCACGTCTAGGTGAGAACTGTGTGTTTAAGGTAACTATGTCTCACTATTTGGAAAAGTGGCAGATATAAGTGGCCAATGTGCATTGCGTTGCAAGTTTTCTCGAAGATAGGCAGAGAATCATGTGCTACAAAATAAGCACTTGTTTTCGCGAGTTGATAAATGGGTTAGAACGTTTAGGGTAAATTTCTAGCATGACTGAAGCAGGATAGAGGAATCAGAAATATTTTCTAGAGCTTCTTCAACAGTCTTCGGAACTAAATGAGAAAACTCGTAAGGAATTCCCAATATCAAAATCCTCAATTTTCAAAAGTGAAAATAAGTATGTTAGGATTGTACAGCACGCTCGACTCGGTAATGTCATACAGCTATTTTCGCAAAAAGAATGCGAATATCTGTTAGGTTTGACGTCAGATGATCCTTTAAGACGGAAGTTGATACATCAGTAGAGCATTTCAAATTCATTTTGTTAGTTTAAAAAACACGTGATATTGCTAAGCCGACAATGCTCTAAAATCCTAGCATACTTATCTTGACTTTTTCAAAATGGAAAATTTTGATCCCGTACTGTCTGCGAATGCTTTGATTTGGTTCTGCAAACTTTGTGAAAGAAACGCTAGAAGATTTTTCTGACTGCTCTGTCGGATTTCCAAGCGCACTGGTACTTTATCCTCAAAATTTCAGTCCGTCTATCGATCCACGAAAAAAGTTGATAATTTTCTAATAATTACACACGTTTGATACCCTATCAGGGAATATTTTTGATAATACACAAATTTTCGTAATCGATGCAGGGCGTAGCTATCTATGAGGGTGAGGCACGTGTTACTTGCAGCACTATCGAGAGAGTCATTGAGATATGGAAACGACAGTTACATAAACATATCACATGCCGAGGAGACAACTGTTCATGTTTGAAATTCATTTTCGTCTGAGCTCATTCCTATTGTTCACAATTGGTATTCTAATATAATTCTACCGTTGCAGCGTAGAACTTATGAAAAATCCTTCTTTTCCTCCTTTTTTTTGAATTTCTTTCTTTTTTTTTGAAAAATTCCTTCTCCAAATCCTTCCTTTTGGTAACCCACCGCTGCGACCCTTGCATTTGTTTTCAAGATTTCATAAGTTTAGTCTCTCAAAAATTTCTGACATTTATTTAGTAACAATACTAAAATATCCAACTACATTATTTCGTTTAGCGATATTGAGAAAAATGTTGAATTGATTTAACAAAAGCAAGACTGAATGTTAATATAGGGTCATAAATAATTTCCATAAAATCATTCTAATTACTTATATTTAATATACTTTAAACGTCGTTGTATTTTAGTTCGATAAGCGACGAGAGATTTGTGAAGTTGCTTCTTGTAAAATTTGGATGGTAATACAAACACCAGAAATGTAAGCATAGGTGGAATAAATGAAATAAGATATCCAACAAGAAATAACCATGCATCATTTGTTGATTTCATACATTTTGATATAAATAAAAGGATTAACCGTGGTAATGCAAGAATAACTAATGCAACAGGAGCAGTAAATAAATGTTTGTGTTGACGAATTTGCTCTTTTAATAGTTCTTTAAAGCTTCGGTTAATTTGAAGATTTGATCTTTGACGAGATTTTTTTGCTATGAGAATAACAGCTGATATTAGATTAATGACAAATGGAGGCAAAAAATGAAAAGTATGAATAATAGAATTGAATATTTGTAAACTTGATGGGTAAGTAACAATACACCATACTCGTTTATCATCTTCATTTTCTTCATCAATTAAACGTCGATAAAAAGGATCATAAATAGAAGTGCCAATGATAACAATCAGAAGAATAGCAATCGCTAATTTCGCTAGTTTTCTACTTTTGTCCTTATGAAAATGAGTAGCTTTTATTATTGTAATTGCTCGTTCTATAGCCACACATGCATTTAACCATTGATCCATATTAAGACAAACCCGTAAAAGAAAATCGAGAGATATACATTGAATTTGTAAAAATAATCGATTAGATATAATTGCCATTTGTGCAAGAACAAGTATCCAAAATTTCAATCCAAATAGAATTGTTATAAGTAAAGTAGTAATTGATGAACCTAGTAAATATAAGCCACAACCAACTTCGCATATAATTTTATTGTTGAATGTAATCAAAGCTAAAGTTCCATTGATAAATCCTGCTACCATCAAGATTGTAGTCAATGCGAAACAGATCTTTACAATATTTGGTTGATGTATAAGATTAATATGTGGTTGAATATGATAGGCTAAGATAGAATCAAGGGATAAACCAAATCCACTTGAACTAAATTGACATCGTGTTCCATAAAAACATGCTGGACAAATACACATTGATCTTTGTGGACAGTCTGAAGTGTCTTGAAAACATTCACCTGCATTTTCACAGACACTTTGTCCTAAACATTCAAATTTCATATTATGATTAAAGTCAAAACAATTTGCTAGACGTTGGTTTCCATAATCATAACATAAACAAATATGAAGATCATCATAAAAACATGAAAGATTTGATGAATAGTTTCGACATGGTAAATGATAATATTTGATGCGACGAAGAACATGCATCTGAACAAATGTTCCATTAAATAACTCATTTATATGTTGACAACGATCTGTTGGATTTATCATTTTATTAATTATTGTTGATCGTTCATAAGGTTTTGAATAACAGCTAAATAATAAATTTTATTTAAAAGTTCAATAAAAACAAGATGAAATGGTTGTGACCAATAAACTACAAGTGAACTTTTTGTAAGAGGAATTGTTCGAAAAGTTGTTGTTCTCATCGGTGCACTATTATTAATCACTTGAATAAAATGAATGAATATTGATTGAGATAAAACAATACTTTTTTGAAAAGATAGAATTATTTTGTTATCAACTATTTCACATCGATCACCAATATAACCTTTTGGACAAATGCATATGAATTTTCTAGCCGATATCATATATTCATCAGCAGGAATACATTGACCACCATGTTGACATGTGAAATTTTTATCCATTTGGCAAATTGTATTGACAAGAAGACATCGATCACCAAATTTATTAATAGGACAAACACATACAGATCGATTATTAGCTAAGACGCCAATACATATTGAATCAGATGAACACTTGCAAGTATGTTGAATAGTACAATACCGTCCAGACCATCCTGGTTTACATTGGCAAAAGCTACCATTTTTTGGATTATTTGAATATTTCACACATTTTCCACGAATACATTGAGAATTTGAACAACTTTGAATGCCTTCTTTGATTCGTGGAATGTCTACTATATATACCAAACGATGAACAGGTAAAAATGGAAATATGATTGGAAACAATAAACTTCCTCGATAAATTAATGAAATTTTTTCGTAAATATCCATTTGTATAGCATAATTTTTACTTTCATTTTTTGGTTGAGTTGAGTAGAGCAGATAAATATTAAATTTAATTTTACAATCTCTTGTTGACAAATAAGTAAATTGTTCATATGAATGAATAATTCTTTCTTCACTATCATCGATAAGTGAAATAATTATGGCAAATAATGTTGACCAAGAGTCTGATACTACTTGAAATTTAACGGTTAAACTCACTCGTTGATTTTGATATTGACACATATTACCATAAAAACTAGGTGGACAAAGACATGCATTTGTTGTTAAGTTCTTTTCATTGTTTAACCAGATACGTAAATCAAAACCACGATGACATCGAAGTTCATGTTGATGAGGCATTTCCATGCGAGGTAAATTTGAAAATATGGGTTTTATTATATTCTTAGTTTGATCTTCGACGGGTTTGCTCATTTCATCTAATGAAAAATATTTTCTTTGTTGTTTTACCTTGTATTTTGTTTCGTGACATAAAAACTGTTCAACTTCAGAACGAATCGATACATAAGACGAATGACAAATATTATCCACTATGGAAATATCTGTTCGATTTTTCACACAAAATTTTTCATCATCTCCATGATCACAAAATGCACCATTGTCACATAGACTTTGATGACCAATGCATTTGTAAGGACTTGAGTTTATACAGTAAAAATTATAGTAAAAGTTTACTTGATACTTTTCTTGACATAATGTTGGTTCGTCAGTGGCACCAAGACAATCGATCTTGCCATCATTTGCTTGCTTAACAGGAAGACAAATAAGTTCATTTGTATCAGGTGAAACACATTTGTGGCAATCTGAAGAACAATTTAATGATGAAGATAAATCACAACCAACTTCATCTTCACCATGTGGACAATTCCATAAACCATCACAAGGAGTATAAATGTTTTTATATGACCATTGTTCACATTCTGTTTCATCTGTTTCATTTTGTCCTTCGATAGTTATTGGAATGAGTTCAGTAAATCCATCACAAATAGTTTGAAATGAAATATTCTTTCTGGCATAGTTTATATGTAAATCTTCATCTTCACACCAATGTTGGTCTTCAAGTTTGCACTCGCAGATATCATTTCTAACAAGCGATTGATGTAGATACGTGCCAGTTATTTCACATTTGAAATGGTGTTTTAAAAGTTCTGTTAAATTACCGCGATTGATGTGCGTTATATTTTCGTCATCTTTGTGAGGACAATCGTCTCTAATGTCCATGAGACGACTTATTGAGATACATTTTGACGAATTAAAACATTGGTACATGTTTGATCTATTACAAATTGCAGAAGTATAATTAGTAATTAGATTAAATCTCTCCAGATCTTGGAATAGTGCGGATAAAGGCATCTCATATCTATCCTCCCATGTAGTGGACAAAATTGGTTGAGCGACTAGCATATCAGGACGGAAACATGTTTTATTTTCGAATAAAACCTTCGGGTGATCAATAAAATACTCATCATAACGTGAATTGTTATAGCATGCGTAAGGTAGCACAGTATCGCTATTGACCAAATATAATGCATCATCTTTTATGTGTGCCAAAGAAACATGACCAAAAAAAATAGGAATATTCGGAATATAAAACATATATGGACATTTGTTGTTAATGATCTCTACACATGCTTGTTTTTCACAAATTCCACTACACCATGGCTCTTTTGAACCTGGTATTTCTAACAGGCACTGGAAAGCTAACCAACATTGTTCAGATGTCGAATTGTCTCTAGCAGAATATATCGCTTTCAAAAGTAAGGTTTTGCGTTGATACACACAAGAACTTGTCATGAATGTATATTGACATACCTTTTCTTCACATTCAAATGATGGTATACCTCTATTACATTTGTAACTGTGTTCAAAGTTCAATGAAATTTCGTCAGAGCCATCAAGACAATCAGGAGTGTTACGATCATCTCGAAAAAATGACTGTGGTATACATTGTCCATTAGTACATCGATATTCATTATCATTACATTCATTTATTTCAAGTTGCCAACAATGTTCTTCATCAAATTCGCCATCGAGACAGTCGACCTGTCCATTACAAATTTCACTCCAATCTAAACATGCTGGAAAAGGACCACGATTACATTGTAAATGAGTATAACAGGTAAAATTATTAGGATTATATTCATATGTACGATAATAATCATGAATAATATCATCTAAAGATAAATGATTTCGATTATAATAAGTAATTTCATATTGACACATAGAACCAAATCTTGGTAATGTACAATTATAAAATACTTGAGTTTCCAGAAATATATCATTCAATGTTGATAATTGGTTTAAATAGAATTCATAACGTTCAGCAACATCTATTGGTGCTGACCACAGGTATAATTGTTGACTAGTAATATTTCGTTTCGCAAGTTCAGCAAAAGTAAACTTTGGAAAGACATCATTACTCTCAATATGAAATTTCAATAGCCAATCATCATTCATACAATAAGATATAATTTCACGATTAACATTTGTTTCATCAATAGAAGCAGCAACATGCAAACAGTCGTGCTGTAATACAGGATGATTCTTACTTTCACTTACCCAATCTGTATAATGAAGATTGATTTGAGGCGTAGCAACAATCAAATTTAAGAAAATGAAATTGAATAGATATCTTGTGTGATACATTATCTAGTTATAATCCAGTCACAAATGAATTCAGTAAGAACTATTTATAAAACTCAAATATAGTTTATCATTATTATTTTTTTCTAAAGATCATTAGGAACTGTTGACTTTATAACAGTTTATACGAAGCTATGAATAAAATCGTTTGTTCCTGCTTGATTGACGTAGCTTTAATATAGTTGTTGATAAAAAATGTGAACACATATAATAGTCGTTGGTCCTTATTTAGCATTAGTAATGGAACATTTATCTATTGAAGACTTGACTTAACACTTCATTTCAACAGGTTTTCCTATAATGGATAAGTCTCTCGATATATCAAACTAAAAATTTTAAATGAAATGTGCTCAAATAAGGTATATGTAAAAATAAAAAGAAACAACTTTAAATGACGTTTCATTTCATAAAACAATCATTCAACGAGTACCATTACTTTTTATTGCGTAGAACAGTGATAAATAAATAATCAATTTAAAATGAATCACGAACAGTGATATGGATCTTTTTTTAACCAAGATTTTGAAAGATGTATGACATATTTTAATATAAAATAATATTTGATTGATGATAAATTTAGAATTAGGGAAACAAATTTATGTTGTTTTATCAATATTAATTCTTTAATTAATCAACTGATGAACAGATGTGTGTGTCAATGCATTTATGGGTAACAGTGTAGGTTGTAATGGACTTTATTATCATTTTTTTCCAGTGTCTGCAAGAGCGGTGGAAAATGTTCAATTCTTTTTTTTCTTTTTCCTTTGATGCAGCTAGAAGTTTTCAACGGCACTTTTAAGATTTTCTTAGTTTTGAGAGATTTCGATCTGAATCAATATCAGTAAGACATGTTCAAAGCTAATCCAACTATCGTTCAATTCGAAACAATTATTAGTCAAAAGCTATCTGATCTTTTCATTCATGAAACTCAACATCATAAAATCTTCTTCAAAAACTCGTGGGTCAATGAATTAAATATTATTTTCAGGGTGTGGGTGTGGGTGGGTGGATTCCGGTGTGATTTAAGACAAGATTATACGCACATCAAAGATGAAATCGTTTTGGTTCCAAAAAAAATAAACACGAACCGATCCCATCATTAACGCAAACTTACTTACACCCTCACTCTATTTTCATCTTTCTATTCACCGATCTCTTTACCTGAATCTTTGATGAATTCTAGTGTCTACACATATTATATTGATATAAGCGTGTGCGGATGTGGGTGTCGGTGTGGCCCTTCTCTTCACTCATACCCACACCCCATGTTATATTTTACGATCTCTTGGATATTATTTATCAGCTCTTTGGATTATTGGTACAAGTCTAAATGCTTATATATTATATGCATTTATACGAAATAAAAATTTACGCCAATCATCAACGAATATTTTCATTTGTGGTTTTGGTATTAGCAGATTTTTGTGGAGCTTTGTTCGATATACCACTATCAGCTATTCCACTCGTAGGATGCAGGTTAAAACTTTTATTTAACCATTTATATGTTTTTTTTCATTCGCTTTTTATTTTAGATGGTTTTTTAGTTATGTTGCTTGCGTACTGGAAACTATTATAGCTTATTTTGCTAGTTGTTCAAATATGTATATGTTATGTTTAATTTCTATTGATAGATATACACGAAAATCTTTGATTATTTTAAATAAAAATAAAAGATTTAATTGTATTTAACAGATATTTTGTTGTGACAAAATTGTGTTCAACATCCGTTATATCGGTTAAACACGCTGATATGACTATTTTATGTGGTTATTTATTAGCTTTATTTTGGACATTACTTCCGGTTATTCGATGGTTGAGCAATGATTATGAAGTCTGATTTCAATTTCCTTTTTTTTAGTGAGTACAATAGTTTACTTGTAGGGTATTGGAGCATCTTGTAGTATAAAACGGGAAGAACGATCATTGAATGTAACTAGTTATAATCTGACTATTTTTATATTTGTTTACCTGATATCAGTTATTATTATTATTGTAACGAATATAAGTGCTTTCCATGTAGCAAGTAAATCTTTTATTATATTAGAAAATAAAAATAAAGAAAATATAAAATGATTTTTTTAGATTCGTGAACGTCGACGTCGTACAGATATAAATTTAGATGAATCTCATTCTCATCGTCCATATTTAATTGAACGTCGTATGACATACACTGTTATTTTTATCATTGGTAATAATAGTAGAGATTTGAATAAAAAAAGAAAAGAAAAGAATTGAATTGAATATGTCTTTTGGTGTTCTTAAGGTGGTTATCTTCTTGCTTGGACTCCATATGCAATAACGAGTTTTAGGGTGTGGGTGTGGGTGTGCGAGTGTGGAATGCCGGCGTGGGGGTGTGTGGGGTGGGGGTGGGGGTGTGACTGTAGACGGGTGTGGCTGTATGGCTGTCACGTGGCTGTGGTTGTAGGAGGTGGATCTGGATCTTCTGTTTAACGAAACCTACACCCACACCCACGCCCATACACCGGTTGGCTTTCTCAACCAGTCCGGTTCCAGCGGGGGTAGAGAGTTTTCTTGATAGTTGACAATCATTTTGAAGGTGTCTCAGGCTTTTACGAAACCTTTTTGAGGATTTACATTTTTGAAACAGAATGATTCGGTATGGCAGCTTTTTTCACAGTATAGTAAGGGTTTCATTTATTTATAAATGTTTGTTAGGTTTTTATTCGTGCTGCTGGGAGACTCCGGTAGATCTTGCATTTGTGCAAGTCAGAACTATCCTTGTTGTTCCCTTGAAGCAGCAGAGAGTATGCTATTTTCTGACAGGTAAAACATCAAACGCATAGTAGCAAATTGAATGAGCAAACCAAGATCTAGAAATTCTTCCACCAAGGCGATTTTATCATAACCCAAATTCATCTAAAATTCAAATTCCTAATCTTTCAAGAGGAGTCTAAAATATTTTTTGTAAAGAGCTAGTAATCGACTCTCTGTTTTCATTTCCGCGATAACGCGAGATTCTAATATTTTCAGACTCACGTATGAAGCTTCAAAAGTGCTGTTTTAACCACCTACCCTTGATATGCACGCACTCACGTCGAATGCAAAACAAAAATGATTCGAATGCTTCATGCCGAGACGGAGAGTTTTTTTTTTATTTTTCTTCCGATTAAAAAAAAAATCTTTTTTCGGGGAGAAAAATAAACCTTTCCATTATACTTGAGAAACTTTGTGTTGATGTTTTATCCGTTTGCATCGAAAAAATGTGTAAAAAACATCGATTCCGTGGAGCACAGTCCAATGTTGAGCAATTTGTACCTTCCAGGGTGTGGGTTGGTGTGGATGTGGGGTGTGGGTGGGTGTGGGTGTGGGTGTGGGTGTGGGTGTGGGTGTGGGTGTGGATGTGCGTGTGGGCGTGGGTGTTGGTGTGGGCGTGGGCTTGGGTCGGTGTGGGTGTGGGTTGTGTGTGGGTGTGTGGGTGTGGGTGTGTGGATGTGGGTGTGTGGTGTGGAGTGTGGATGTGGATGTGAAGAGTGGGCGTGGATGTGAGGTGTGAGTGTGGGTGTTGGCGTGAGTACTCTTTCAATTCACATCCGCAGCCACATCCACCCACCTGTGCCACCCACACCTCACATCTATGTCCACACCCACAATCACACCAACACCCACACCCCACATCCACAATCACATCCATACGCCACACCCACACTCTAGTTCATTGATTTTGCTTGCGTAGTTTTTTTCTTTCTTCGAATACATTAATTACAGTGCCGTTTCTCCCTGTCCCTCTGCAGACAGGGTTTAATCCACTTTACAGAGAGAGCTCACAACGCGAATCAGAAAAGCACGAAGAAATATAAGAAGGACAAAAATACGCTTTCTTTCTCCTTGCAATTAACTTATCGCGCATAGAACGTAAAAAGAAACATCACATGCACCCTGTTTTTCTCCGACTCTTTTATCTTCGAAACATCGTAAAAAGACCACTTGTTTGTTGTTTTTTCTCACTAACAACTTATGGCCTTTGGACATTGTCAATGGAGTGCTCGTAGTCGTCGCAACGGTATGCGCGACCATCCTCCTTACGTAAGTTTTGTCTATCAATCGGGGCAGATTCATATTGAGCTCGCAAAAGACAATTCAGAATGGCCAAGAACGCAGTCTCCTATTGATAAGTGAGGGATTCTTTAGCATCGCCTTCGTAAGTAACGTTATACAGTAGGGAAGCAAAGCCACCGCCCCATGGCCGAAGTGATAGTGTTCAACCACCTGGATCATTTCGTCAATTCGAGCTTTTACTCGTCAAAAACCAGGATCACAAGGCTGAATATATGTACGAATGGAAGATCAATGAAACTCTGGGAGTGTCTGTTGGAAGTCGCCATAGTCATGGACGAAAACTAATCGACAGCCATTCCGTGGTCGAAGTGCGCTAGTTCAATAGGCTGGATCAAACGACAGATGATGGAATCATGATGGCATGGCACAATTTCGAGGGAACGTTTGTTTACCATCGACAGGCAAGACGAGATCGAATTCGTCAAATGAAACAGCTAATTCCTTCCGCGCCAGTAGTCATCTCCTCACGTGAACAAAACGATTTACCCACATGGAAAGTAGGTACGAAGGAACCGTCATCAAGTACGTGTGTGATCTGTCTGGACACATACACCAAAGAGGAACAGATTACCGGGCTGCCTAACTGTATGCATAGTTTTCATGGGAACTGCATTCGAGTTTGGCTTTAGGGCAGCGACCATTGTCCGATATGTTGAATTAAGGTACACTAGATCTTCTGTATATACTTGCTTTTTCCCTTTTCTTTCCTAAGCAAAGAGCGACGGTTAGTCCTTCACTTATTCCGTCTTCGCCAATGCCCCAATCATTTTCTTATGTAGAGGAATGCCTTTCGTTGAAACAATAAAGAGGAAAGAATTTGTCTCAACCAGAATAGGAAGCTTTTATTCTCTTTGCTGCCCCTGCACTTGCTTCTCTTGATTTTTGTTTTCTGATTTGCTCATAGCAACCAGCATCACCTCTTTGGACATTCCATGCAGGTCCTTCTATTTGTTCTAGCTTGTGATCAGCGAGTTTACGTTTCGAATGTTTTGTTGATTGCTTTCTGGGGTCAGGTTTGAGGTTTTCAAACGGTGTACCGAGGAGTAAAGAGCGCACAAGACTTTCACGAAACTGCAGAATGATCACTTCGCTTGTGCCATAGTTTTCCTTGTAAATCAAATAGCTATTTACCATTGCCGTCCCAAAAACCAAGTCAAATGTCACCTTTCGGTGCCACTTTATTCACCGCCTAAAGCACGTGTGATATGCTGATAGCTCATCAGATAAATCAATACTTTGTCTGACTTTGTTCTAATCTAATACAACTTGGGTCTTCATGATACGTCCATTTTTACTATTGGTTTTTTGAGTGTTAACCACAGTTGTTGCATGCGACAGTCTTGCGGATATCATCAGGACTTCTTTTTTGTCTTTCCACATGATCTATTTTATGCTGTCTTTATTCTAGAGCCTGTAGTCTTCACAGCGTCTAATGTTTCTGTGAAGAACTTCGCTCCCAGATCCGGCACGGTTACTTCTCAGAGTCCGAATAAGATATGTTTCATCTTCTAACAAACATTTTACAAGAGAAATACTGGTAAAGAAGTTGTCAGCTACTATGATTCAATAACATCTCGAAAGATCGCCTGATAAATTCATTACCACTGTTTGAATATGACCAAGATCTGCAATGGGATCTTGCTCACCAGTATCTATATATATAATGTTCAGTGTATGTGTGTTTCTCTGTGCCAGGTCAAAGGTCAAAGGTTCAAGGTCAAATAAGGCTATAATGGGAAGATCTCCAGGGGCTATTATATGGGGTACTTATAGGTCCCCAAGGGCTATCCTATGGGGATACACATAGGTCCTCAAGGGCTATCCTATGAGGGTACCCATAGGTTCTCAAGCGCTATCCTATGGGGGTACCCATGGATCCCCAAGGACTATCCTATGAGGGTACCCATAGATCCTCAAGGGCTATCCTATGGGCGTACCCATAGTCCCCAAGGGCTATCCTATGGGAGTACCCATACGTTCTCAAGCACTATCCTATGGAGGTACTCATAGGTCCCCAAGAGCCATCCTATGGGGGCACCCATAAGTCCCCAAGGGCTATTATGTGGGGGTACCCATAGATCCCCAAGGGCTATTATGTGGGGGTACCCATAGGTCCTCAAGGGCTATGATATGGGGGTACGCATAGTTCTCCAAGGCCTATTATATGGGGGTACCCATGGATCCCCAAGTGCTATCCTATGGGGTTACCCATAGGTCCTCAAGCGCTATCCTATGGGGGTACCCATGGGTCCCCAAGGACTATCCTATGGGCGTACCCATAGGTCTCCAAGGGCTATTATATTGTGATATGCATAGGCTCTGAAGGGAGTAAGTCAATAGGGAGATAAGGCTACGAGGAATATAGGGCTCTAAGGCCGAAGGCTACATGGACTATAAAAATATGTGCGATATGAGAGTATGAGGTCGTGGGGCTACCTATCTATATACATAATATCGAATGTCTGTATGTATTTTACCGGATGAAAAGTTAAATGTCTGAGGTCATGCATTAAAGGAGAAAACAGCAGTGCAGTATGCATGGGTTCTCGCTAGTAGATCACATAATTTCAGGTGTATCCAATAAGAGCCGCTAACTTGTATATCTTTACGCCGCACTTGTGCGCTTTTTCAGGAATATATTGTTTGAATAAACGTCTGTCTCACAATCGTACCATAGTTTCGTCGATAGTAATAATTTAGCCAGACATATATACTGACGAAAATCTGGCTTTCAGGAAATCCAAGAGTGGTTGTCAACTTGAACAGTCTAACCTGAACGAATTTTTGTTATGGCTGTTCGAAAAATGCCAAAATTTGAGCAGTAGTTCACACTTCTCTCTCGATATGGCATTTCGAATGACCTCGGACCCATACAACTGATTGCTGCTCCAGTAGTAGCTAAGTTTCGGCATTTGTACTAATTCCATCTCGATAATGATTCCAAAGAACTTGAGCATCTCTTCATCGGTGGTTGGTTTTCATTGACGAAATATTGATCGTCTGCTAATCTTATTGGTTTGCAAGTATTGCTCCGCGTATCGATTAGCTTCACTAACCATAAGCCCAATAATTTCGTCTGTGATGAAATGCCAATAGCAATCGATAAGATCGATTGTATTATCTTCTGAAACAGAAGTTACTTCTTCGACGAGTTCATG